TTTTTATTTTTGTGTTGTCTGATTTTCATTTGTTAATCAGGTTTCACGTGCATTTGACTTGTTAAACAAACGTTAGTATAATTTATGGGGTTCCGAATTCAAGGAGAGACGACGCGAGCTTTCGAAGTTCCAAGAAATTAATACATAAATATAAACGTATATACATATATATATATATATATATATATATATATATATATATATATATATATATATATAATATATATCTTTGTTTTTGTTATAAATCAGATGACAATAGTTTTAATTAAGGAATAACAAAAGAAAAAAGATAATACAAAAATGATTTGAAAAACAATTATCATATAGAAGATAAAATCATCTTGATAGATTTTGTAAAGAAACCTTTATTGTCTTGGATGTAAACAAATGGTGGTACCAGTTTTAGACTTTCTTTATCATAAAATATTTCCTTAGATGCTTTATTATCATAAAGTCCTTTATTTCAAGCAATATTACCATAATATATATCATTTGGCGTATTATTATCATAAAGTTTTTTGTTATATATATTATTATCAAAATGTCTTACATTAAATGCATTATTATCATAAAGTCTTTTTTTTTTCAAACATGATAACCTTAAAATCTTTCATGAGACACATTATTATGGCGAGAAACGCTGTCTTTGCCTGCATCAGAATATTCTTCATACGACTGAAGAATTTCAGTCAGTGTGTGTTTTCATGGGCCACCGCATTCCCAAGAGATCTCCTAGCTGCTGGTTGATGGGATTTTTTTATCGAGCTAACCAGGGCTATAGAACGCAGCCTTTCTTGCTAATTAACTCTGGGGAATGGAGAATAGATGGGCACATAGATTTCTCAATGCCATTTGCGCGTAAGTGAATGTAATAAATTCGAAGGAATTCGAACTCTGCACTCTGATTTCCCATTCCTAGCCGCTATTCATTAAACTACCTTCAAATCTATTATATATAAATAAATCTTTTTTTTTTTTTTTTGGTTTTTTGTGGGTATTATTTTCATAAGGTCTTTTCTTAGGCAGATTATCAGAGACAAGAAAAGATGGAAATATCCAAGTAGCAAATTCAAGGAATATGACGGTGAAGTATTTTCCAGTTCACCAGGAATCATTGAGATGAACATCGTCTTCGAAAGAAAATCTCTTTGTCGTTGACTAGCGCCTGTTTTCTTTTGGATGAAGATATTTTGTAGTCTTTGAACTTGTGTAGCAGGTTCCTCGTTAGTGACTGTTTTTAAATGCTATAGCAACTACTAATTTACAGTATTCGCTTAAAAATATCTTGTTATTTTATAATGGTCGTGGCGTTAATGGTCGACTTTTATTTGTAGATAGCCCGAAGTACAATCCCTTGATTATTGAATAAGATTAATTTAATATCACATATCAACTGGTGTGGGTTAAACGCAAACGAGATAATTTAGATGACCATTAGTATTGAGTTGTGAGATCGATCCTCTTTAGGGGACTCATACTTGTGCCTTTATACTAAGCTTAATAAATATTTTGTAGCGCCTCGTTGTGCTATAATGTTTAGCGAGTTAGTCGCGTTAACTCAGACCAATAGGTAGTGAGTTCGATCCTCACTGTGTGCCCTATACCTGTGGGTTAAATTAAACTAAGTTTAGTAATTTGCGCGAGAGGGCATATATTTATTATATTCGTTGAGTATATATATATATATATATATATATATATATATGCATGTGTGTATGTCAGTGCGTATGCGTACGTTTGTATACGTATGGGTGGTCGCGTAAGAAATATTTTTTAAAATATGCTATGCAAAATAAATCAAATATACTTTGTCTCCTGATGAGTGGATTTAAAATCTATGAAAGCTAAATAATGGTTTTATCATCCTTCTCTCTCTCTCTCTCTCTTAAATATATATATATATATATATATATATATATATATATATATATATATATATATATATATATATATATATATATTTTTGGCATTTAATGGTGCTAATGAATGAAACAGACTACTGCCTATCGGTGATCATCACAATTTCCATGTTTATATTTGCATACGTCTATCCTGTATAAATATAGATAGCGTAATCAAAATTATATATATATATATATATATATATATATATATATATATATATATATATATATATATATATATATATAAATGTAAAAACAGATTGGAACGGAAAAAATTCTAAAAAGCAAAAACGATATTCTTAAAAGAGTGTTCAATACGGAGTAAAGCAAATATTATTTATTCAAAAATTCTAACATAAACATGTTATAACATCCCAACTAAAATAACCATTTTCTTTCAACACTTCTGGTGTCTTTTCAAGTGAAGATCATTTGAGAAAACACCAGAATCGTTGAAACAAAATGGCTATATTTGTAGTGATGTTATAACATGTTTTTGTTATAATTTTGTAATAAATAAAACACATATATATATATATATATATATATATATATATATTAAGAAATGGACAAGGTCCGACAATTTATTTATTAAAGACATTTTTTTTATGTTTAACGTTGTTTTTTATAGATACAAGTATTTAAGCAAATGCTCTGTTTATGATAAACAGTATTAAATAACATTTACCGGCTTACTGAATGTCCAGAAATTTTTCATAGAAAATATTCGTTCTTTGACAGGATTCGAACCTGCATCCTATACGGAACCGTCATTTACGCTGACGGTTTTACCGTTCGGCTACAAAGAATAAACAGTTTATAAGCAGTAAATTCGACCTTGTCTACCGAACGATTCTTTAATACTGAACAGTCAAAATGCACGTCATTTATGTAAATATTTGTATCTATCCAAAAACAACGTTAAAAATGTTATTTAATTTTTATGTTTTCCATTTTGTATCTTAGATAAACGTTATATATTTATCATATATATATATATATATATATATATATATATATATATATACGCCCTGGTTTGGTTGAAACTGTTTCCTCAAATCTCTTTATCTGTGAGGAAATTGCCTAGTATTCACTGTTATTTAGGAGGATTAATCTTTGGTATCAGTTAGCTGGAACCGAACTTTGTATCAATAGATATTCACCTGTTCCGATGACTTTAACTTCTTCATAACTAAATTGGATGGTAACCACAGTTAGAAATATTTCAATCTCTTGGATTCATTGTGGAAATTATAGAATAAATTCCTACATTTTATGATTTAGCTTATTATTGTTTCGTTCTCTCTCTCTCTCTCTCTCTCTCTCTATATATATATATATATATATATATATAATATATAAAGTGATGTCACATTGCGTTTGCTTATATTAGTAAAATAGTATATGTAATTGTAATATCGACCCTTAAAAGGTCTTCTGGTGGATCTCACATACAATTTAATATCCTTGGATCATTTGATAAGATGGAGCACGTATATACAATGGACTCATCACTTTCTAAATAATTTTGGAAACTGAAGGAAGAAAGCAAAACACCTATGGTTAAATGGAAAATCCTAAAACAAGCCAGAACCTGCAAATCTCTGAACGAATCTTTGTTTTGTTTGCAGAAAAAATATGTATTATTAAACTTTTGAACAACAGTCAATTATTAAATCAAAGATTTGAAAGCACCGTTTATTGAAGGCATATTAAAGATCTAACATTACAATCTTGCTAAACTTTCAAATCCATAACTCTAAACGTTTAAAATTATAACTCACCTCCTTTAATATACTTTCTACCCTCTTATATACCTTTTTACTAATCTTTCTTAGATTATGATTCTTAAATTTTTTGGCACATATATAATTCTAATAATAGTATCAGATAAATTGATTTACATTCATACTTATTCTACAAGTTATACAGTCCGACAATAGGTTAAACCTTGCTTATAAAAGTTATATTTATATCCCATACGTTTTTATATACCTTTCTACTTATATCTTAAATTCTGAATTAAAACTAATTGTAAAAAGAAACAAATAACTTATGTATTTAAAATACCAAACAAAAAAAATTCCACCTCTTTATTTATTAATTTATAAAATAAATTAATTGATTACAGGGTAGCAATAACTCCAGCTTAAATATACGCAATTGGCTTTGTTTTAAAAGTTACCGAAAGCGTTACCAGTTACTACTATGACCATCGTTTAAACTTATCCCTCCTTCTTGCTTCATCGTCTTACTCTCTCCTATTCCCACCTTTCCTCCCCGCTCACTCTTGGGAGGCTTGGAAAAACCCTTGACCGTTGCTGTCGATTTAAATTTTTCGGGTCGAGCCATCGCCTTAAAACAATCCTTCACCAAACTGCTATTAACAAGCACTATTGTCTCATTCTGTCAGCCTTTTGCCTTTCCTATCTTTTCTTTATGCTTATACGTCCCCTCTTAAAATGTTTGTCTTTTTTTTTTCAAACAAATAGAAAAAACGGAAGTGACGTTCCAGGAACGGCCTGCTTACAAGCAAAATTGTTTATTACCATTTTGGTTCTCACCAGTCGAGGTATAAATAAATGCACCGAAACGAGGTTGCATCTTTGTAGTGAGTTTTTGTCTATATGAAAAAATTATAATAAATGATTATTGGTCTACTATTGGTATTGAGCCCTCTTTTGAATTAAAGCTGTGAATGTTAGAATTTATATATTTTTTTTCCTTACATTTATATTATATATATATATATATATATATATATATATATATATATATATATATATGCTGAAATTTGGCGTTCTAATATGAGACAGACAGCCGCCTCTTTGTCGACTTTTATATTTACATACGTTCTACCTCTGGTATTGCGTACTTTTATCGGTAGATATAACGCACCTTAAAACTATATTTTTATCATATATATATATATATATATATATATATATATATATATATACTCCTTGTTTGAATGACATGATAATAATCTTGGCTAATGTGTTGATCGTCATTAAATACCAAATTATCGTTTTCTTTCACCAGATTAACTCTAGCTTATTAACTTTCTTTATATACAAGTGTTTTTTGTATGTGTATATGTTCCTACGTTAGGAGATCTAGCAGACAAAACATTGAAAAACAAATATCATTTATAAAAAATGATTTTATCATGTATCTCGTGTATCATTCGAGTTCTTTTTTTGAAAAACCAAATTACAATAGACTAACTTCTTTTACTCTATCTCTTTATCTCAATTCTCTAGTTAAATAAGATAAAAAAAAAATTAAAAACGAATGATAAAAGTAACGTTATACTCGTTTTGTAAACGCGTACAGCCATAAACAACCAAACGAGAAACAGCTAAACATCTTATAAACGTAAACATTGGAAAAGATGCATATTCGCCATGTTTGTATTTTATAATACGTTACAAATATGTGAATATTACAGGCATTATTATTCGATACAGTTAAGTAAATCATCAGTTTTATCAAAATCATGTTTATTTTAAATACAGCTGTACTTTTTGACTACAGTAAATAGATATACACAAGGTGATTGATAAGTAACTCCTCATTTTAAAATACTTATAACTTATTTATTAACTATAATTGTTACAAGAAATGGGCATGAAAGGAAAGCGTTTAGCGTGAGGTTTTATTTAAAATTCGATATGGGCACTAGATTTCGCTACCAGCTTCTTGAGCCGTCCAGGAATCACGTCAACTCATTTCACCAGGAAGTCTTGTGGTATAGAAAACATAAATTCTTGTATTCGCCCTTGAAGTTCTTCCAAAGACTTGGTTTGGTAGAGTAGACTTACTACTTTAACCAATCTCAAAGAAAAAAGCCACTTCTGGCTGGCCACTCATACATAAAATAGGCAGTTACTTTTCAATCAACCTGTAGTTTAGTCAACGGAGTAGTCAGGACCAGCAGTACATACGCTAATATTATATCTCATGTATGATGCAACCCTCTTAAAATTAGCTTCAAAAGTTGAATAATATGTGAGTATATACGGTACTTGAAAAAATGCGTCAAAGTAATTTCTCATTGGAGGAAAAGAAATTAACTTTCTACATCTATCATCATATTTATATCTTATTATTTTCTGATGTCAGTTTTTAATTATCTGGGTTTATTTAATTTAGTTTTTTTATTTCAGGATTCTAATACATCCATTATTTAATGGTAAATTAAGAGCTGCAGAATTAATACCCCCCCTTTTCTCTTTTTGTCACTTCTCTCTCTCTCTCTCTCTCTCTCTCTCTCTCTCTCTTTCTTACTTGATTAAATTCTGTAATCTCTCTCTCTTACTGCTGTGGAGTTATTTCTCAGTGGAGGCTTATAATTTGTACTAAATCGATCCTAAATAGTTCGACGTACAAAACTAATTTGCTTAAAAGAAGCCTAACCTTCTTTCCTTCAGACCACGAGTGGCAGTCCTCGTTATACACGTTCGTATATTTTTTATAATACTCCTCAAAAGTTATCTCTTCATCTGGACTGTACGTGATTATTTCAATTGAATTCCATATTGTATTCTCTGGGAAAGAATCCTTTTGTAAATTTTCCTCTTTCCTCTTCTTAGTTATTTCCAGAATTTTGTTTTGAAACTCCCTATGCATCTGTTCCATTTTTTGTTGTCTATTGAAAGTTTCCTCCTGTAGCTGCATCTGGAATGTTTTTTGTTGCTCTAATATTGTCATCTGTTGTTCCCACTGGAACTTAAAGAATTCCCGGAATATATTTTTGCATTCCTCCATCTTCGCAAAAAGTTTACACAGCCTAAATACTGTAGAGAGGGTTGGGCTACGAATTTGCAATTCGTGACCTATTTGAACAAACTGTATTATCGGGGGAAAAATCCTTTCCTCAGTTGAGAATACGACAGATTATTTCCGTCACTAAGTTGACGTCTTGGCTTGCGAAAAACTTTGCCAAGTTTTTTTTTTTTTTTAAGCATGAATCCGAGACTTTGTCGCCGAAGTTATTGTGGCGAGCGAATTTTTTCTTCCTCCGTATGAGTGCAAATCCTCGTCGCCGAAGTTATTGTGGTGAGCGAATTTTTTCTTCCTCCTAATGAGTGCGAATCCTCATCGCCAAAGTTGTTGTGGCGAGCGTATTTTTTTCTTTCGTATCAGTGCGAATCCTCGTCGCCAAAGTCGTTGTGGAGTTATTTCGCAGTGGAGGCTTGTATTTGTACTAAAAGGGTCCTAAATAGTTCGACGCACAAAACGTTAGGAACTTGATATAATAGCTATTACGCAGAATAATCTTGTTGTGGTCGCTGACGACTTTCGTATTCGACTAACTGTCGACTACTGTCGTCCGACATCGACTGACCCTCGTTTCTCTTACTACTCCTACTTATATTAGGTGGGAGAGTCTATTTACTATAGAATAGGGGTGTTTCACCATAACAGTTATCTTCCCCTCTCTCTACTTGATTACATTCTTGAATCGCTCTCTCTTTATCTTTTCCACCCTCTACTTGATTAAATTCTTGAATCTCTCTCTCTCTCTCTCTCTCTCTCTCTCTCTCTCTCTCTCTCTTTATCCTTTCCTCTCTCTACCTGATTGTAAACCTATTTGGCCATCGAGAAAAGAGAATTTTTGTCACCTGTAGCTGTGGTTCAAAATCATGCTAAAACTTTAATTACAGATTTTCAAGGCATGCAAGAAAGCCATCCATAATTCATGGATCTCTTCAACTTCCTATCCTTTGTTCCTCTGTTAGTCTTTATTAATCACCCTCTGCCCAGCCATTCATTTACATCAACTCGTTAGGTAAGCTTCTCGCTACTTCCTTCTAATGCTCTTATCTTCACTGTCATGTGAGTGTCAAATTCGCCAAGCTTTCTTTCCTTATTATGTGTTCCAGCAATTTCAACTATGTCTTTTTGATTCTAAGAGTCTTATTTGTTTCCATTTTTTCTTAAAACCACTTCGTTGGCCACATTATCTGTCCATTTTATTCTTAGCATTCATCTGTAGATTTACATTTTTGCTTAAGTTTCCGCTTCATCTATGAGAAAACTGCGTTGTTTTTCTTTGTTCATCTTGCCTTCAATCTGTCTTGTGAGTATAACATTTTCCAATTGTCCTTTCCTCATTATGTGTCATAGAAATGTCAACTGTCTCTTCCTGATGTTAAGTATAAATGCTCCTTGCTCTAGGGGACGCGACGAACAGGAATGCTTTCAGAAATATGGAAATGTCCTGGCCACCAAATTACCCAGACATCAATCTCATTGACAATATTACGTCACATCACAAGCCCCGTTATCCATTAGCGTATTAGGGGGCAGCAGATTTACTGAAATTATAGAAGCAGTGATATGTCTCACAGAGCCCAACCCTCTGAAGGTAAGTTTAGAATTCAATTTGCTTTCTAAAATGGATTGCGTCTCGGAATGAGAAATCGTAGAACCGAGTTCGAATTCCTGTCGGGTTCGTTAGAATCACTTACGCGCAAATATGTTTGGGAAAGGTATTAATTCATCCCCGCCTCACTTTGGGTTAAATATTAGGAAATGATATACTCAGAATATTATTGATGCAATGTTCATTCACAAAAAGAATTATTATTATTGTAATCCCCAAAATGTTTCAGCTTTAAATAACTCACAAAGGGTAGATAAGCCATAAAAACAAAATCAACCAATCAGTCAGACATTGTGGATTGGTTGACATCTCAACAGTATTAGCGTGAAGTGAACGAAACAAATTCAATTGAAGATTAAATCATACCGCATCTATCTATCTATCTATCTATCTATCTATCTATCTAAGTCTGTTCGTATCTATCTATCTATCTATCTATCTATCTCAGTCTGTTTCTATCTATCTATCTATCTATCTCAGTCTGCTCGTATCTATCTCAGTCTGCTCGTATCTATCTATCTATCTATCTATCTATCTATCTATCTAAGTCTGTTCGTATTATCTATCTATCTATCTATCTATCTATCTATCTATCTATCTATCTATCTATCTATCTATCTCATTGAATGTTCGTATCTATCTATCTATCTATTTATCTATCCATCTCTCTCTCTCTCTCTCACTCTCTCTCTTTTAAATATTTCTCTCTCTCTCTCTCTCTTTATATATATATATATATTATATGCATTAAAAAAAATAACCAGTTTGTCTGATGATCGCAAAAGCGTGAAACACTGGGATTACAAACTACTATCCAGGCAACAGAATATATATATATATATATATATATATATATATATATATATATATATATATATATATATATTTCTATGTTCCAGTCTATCCATTAAGATACCTCACTGTTACTGTCTAATTTGCTTGTCTTTTTAATTTTATTATCTTCCTTTTTAATTTATTTGGAAAATGGTATATATTTCAATTTAGATCGGGAATTATATTTATTGTAACCATTAAAAATAACTGTAGACCTTACAGTGCCTAGTCCAATACTCTGTGAAATGAGCGCATCGCCAGTATTGTAGAAATCTTGATGAATGTCTGTTAATGCAAAGAGTTTCTTGGTTTCAATTGAGGTCATTTGTATCAGTTTTATTATCAGCGCCTGATTCTAAAGTTACATTTGTCCGGAGCACCAATTTGGACTTCAATAAACAAAGAACAGGATGAGCCAGAAAGAGAGTAGAGAATGAGAAAGAAAGAAAGAAAGAGAGAAAGAAGAGAAGGAAATTGAAATAAAAGAAAGAGAACAGAATAAGAAAGAAAGACCGGAATGAGAGAGAGAGAGAGAGAGAGAGAAAGAAGAGAAGGAAATTGAAATAAAAGAAAGAGAACAGAATAAGAAAGAAAGACCGGAATGAGAGAGAGAGAGAAAGAGAGAGAGAGAGAGAAAGAAGAGAAGGAAATTGAAATAAAAGAAAGAGAACAGAATAAGAAAGAAAGAAAGAAAGAAAGAACAGAATGAGATTAAAAAAAAGAAAGAAAGAAAGAAAGAAAGAAAGAACAGAATGAGATTTAAAAAAAAGAAAGAAAGAAAGAAAGAACAGAATGAGATTAAAAAAAGAAAGAAAGAAAGAAAGAAAGAACAGAATGAGATTAAAAAAAAGAAAGAAAGAAAGAAAGAAAGAATAGAATGAGATTTAAAAAAAAGAAAGAAAGAAAGAAAGAACAGAATGAGATTAAAAAAAAGAAAGAAAGAAAGAACAGAATGAGATTTTAAAAAAAAAAAAAAGAAAGAAAGAACAGAATGAGATTAAAAAAGAAAGAAAATCAAGAAAAAAAAAAAAAGAACAGAATGAGATTTAAAAAAAAAGAAAGAAAGAAAGAACAGAATGAGATTAAAAAAAAGAAAGAAAGAAAGAAAGAAAGAACAGAATGAGATTAAAAAAAAGAAAGAAAGAAAGAAAGAAAGAAAGAACAGAATGAGATTTAAAAAAAGAAAGAAAGAAAAGAAAGAGAAAGAACAGAATGAGATTTAAAAAAAAAAAGAAACAAAGAAAGAAAGAAAAGAACAGAATGAGATTAAAAAAGAAAAGAAAAAAAGAAAGAATGAGATTTTGAAAAAAAAAAAAGAACAGAATGAGATTAAAAAAAAGAAAGAAAGAAAGAAAGAAAGAACAGAATGAGATTAAAAAAATGAAAGAAAGAAAGAAAGGACAGAATGAGATTTAAAAAATGAAAGAAAGAAAGAAAGAACAGAATGAGGTTTAAAAAAAGAAAGAAAGAAAGAAAGAACAGAATGAGATTAAAAAAAAGAAAGAAAGAAAGAAAGAAAGAAAGAGAACGTAATAAGAAGGAAAGACCGGAATGAGAAAGAATGAAAGAACAGATCAAGATTGAAATTAAGAAATAAATAAAGAAAGAAAGAAGGAAGGAACGGAATGAGAAAATAATAAAAACCAGAATAGAATGAGAAAGATTGAAAGAAAGAATAGAAAGACATTGAAATAACCGAAGAAAGAAATAGAAAACAGAATGAGAAAGAAAGAAAGAAAGAACAAGTTTGAAAAAAAAAAGAAATAAAAGAAAGAACAGAAGGAAAAATGTTAAGGAAATAATTCAAGAGAAAGAAAGCAGAAGAGAAAAGAAAACAATGAGAGAGAAACAAAGAAGAAAAAATGAAAGAAAACGAAAGAAAACAGAAAAGGAAAAAAAGGCAGAATAAGAAAAAAGAAAAAGAAAGAAAAACACGGCAAAAGAAAGAGAAGAAAATATAAAACGACAGAAAGGGAAAAAAGAAAGAAAAAGTGAACGAGAAAGAAAGATGAGTGAGGGCCTCTTTTGTTGTCTTTGCCTCAATTTGTCTCATCAAAATCTGGATTGAAGGTTGAAAGTAAATTCACATGGGATGGTCAGTTTTAATTTGACTAAACCGCTCTTTCAGATTGATTACAACTTTAGAAATGTGACAGATGTTTAGGTTGGTATACCTAAGTTCGAAATTTTGTCTATTTGCGGCTTTCCACGTTCCTTCTTTTCTTTTTTTTTTTTTTTTTCCTTCTCAGGCAAGTAACTTGCACAGCTAACCTTCCAGGACGACAGTCGTTTTAGTGCATACACTTATGTCAGGACATATTATTTATATGCAAAGTAAGTTCTCAACATTTTCTTTTTTTGACAACCAAAGACGGAATATAGTGCAGAAAAGCTGATTTTTAATAATAATAATAATAATAATAATAATAAGTTAACAGTTTTGCTATTTGAATTTTCTGATTGGTCGTAATTCTTAAGTTAATGTTTGAGTATCCTTGGAAGTTTAACGACTATAAAATACTCACGGCAATTTCTCTTTTGCATCATTAAATATTTGAGCTTAACAACTTTAATAAAATATTGCAATAGCAATCATAAGTATGAATGTAGGTTATTATTTAAAGAATTAAAAGGGTACAAAAAAATGAAAACTGATATTTCACTGAAGCGGCCATTAAACAAACGTGTGTTCACCTCGTCGCTCTTTCTTTCTTTTTTTCATTAAAAGCAAACAGCGTCTCTGCCATGTCTTTTGCGTCTTTCTTCGAGATCAAAACGTAATAGTCCATTATTCATGAGGTATTGGCAGTCTGTAACGTACGTTCTACCTAAGGAACGAAGTAACAAATAGAATGATAAGATGGCATTAGGTTGAGATATAAGTAATTTATATTTTGAGGCATAACCAATTGACGAATATATCATCCGAACTAATTACTCCTTAAATATATCAAAAGAGACGATGAAAAACATTTTTCTTTAATCATTTTTACCCAAGCAAAGCAATAAAGCCAGTAAGCCGCAAAGGAGGGGGTTACCGAGTGTCAGAGAATATGAGAAAAACATTGCTAAGGAGAGAGAACAATAAAAGAACAGGAATTAAGAACACTATTTACATTATTCGGACTATTGTCCTCATCTTTGTCGCCATATTTATTACAACGTTTCGGCCGTTGTACGCTCCGGCCTTCTTCAAGTGGTTGAAATGTGGAGCTGAACTCTTTATTTCGCTCACTGGGGTAGACTGTTCTAGTTCCACGTGCCATGTTTAATGGATGTCAGTTATCAGTTATCTCCTGTTAATTCCCCTCTCCAAGTTCTCCACTGCCTTAACTGGGTATTGAACTCTTTGGGTCCTGTCACTGGATCCAACTAACGTCTTTATCCACTGTGCCATGTGTCCTTGAGGACATCTGTGTATGAATGTCTTCTCAATTTTTACCAGTACTCATATTGCAATTTTTGCTGTTATCATTTCATGTTTTTACCAGAGCTCATATTGCAATTTTTGTTGTTATTATCGCTTTTCTCTGGCACTCTTTATTACTGGTTCCCATATTGTATTCATTTCTATGCTTGGTCGGCTCAGGAGATTGACATTGATCAAAGGGAAGTAAGAAACAAAACTGGAAAGCAAGAAGCCGGAAGTGAGTTCCACAAGCGAGAAGTGACATAGAAGAAACTATTAGCATAGAACCTTTCAACTGTAAATGCTAAGACATTGCCACCATTCTATTACTACCCTTAAATTCATAAAGTCTCAGTGCCATAGAGGAAATTTGAACAGAACAATTACTATGAAAATATTTATAGAAAAGGCGCAGGGAAACTACATTACGGAGGTGAGAAAGTGACTGAAGGCGAGATGCCAATAACTTTGGATTTTATCAAGAATCTCTAAATATATTCCAGGAGCACCAGACAAGATGTGGCAACAATAGCCAAAGCAAGGACGAATGGTAGACGTATAAATATGTAAGATAGATTCTGTCGAGAAAAATTGTCTTGAACAACACAGTGAACAAACTTTCCTAGCATTAAATATAGCAATTGATTGAATATAATATTTCAATTTCCTGTCAGCGGAAAACGCTATTCAAAAAGTGCGCAATGAATTTTAGCCTCTGCAATACTGATGTAAGGCAAAAAAGGTTTATCTCAAACGATTAAAAGAGAGTAGTTTTTTGGGAGGTGTTAAAATTAACAGGGCATTCCTTGTTCCAGTTAACAACAGATTGTAAGTCATTTTTGAGATCAGCTGCCAATTTAACCTTTAAGAAACGATTAGACTTGCTATTAAGACAGAAGTAAATAGTTGTGACATTAGCAAAGATAGCTAGTTGAATATTGATGGCATAAGGAAGGTCGTTGATAAAATAGGTTACATACGACAATGTTCAATGCAAAAGGCAGCAAATTGACATGTGTAAATCTCCACAAGCGTGCTGAGTTTCATGAAAGAAACGTAGTGTTATTTAGGTGGATTGATCGTCTGGTTATTATTCATTTAGAGTTCTTAAAACGCAATGAAATACTAAATACACAATTATACGTAGAGCAGTTGCAACGTGTCCATAAAATTTGATCGAAAAGCGCTCGATCGAAGAAGAAAGTGTTTGGTTTTGGGAAGTGATATGGAATACCAATAGTAGTCATAAAAATGTGGAATGACTGAAGAAGTTCAGAGATGCGCTGAAATATATAAAACAACAGAAAAGCTCGTTGATAACAAAGGAAAATATAAAAAGTCAGCTGAAAATGTTGCCATAATGGAGAGCAAGTGGAGTACATTGGAGGAAACAGTTCATAAATATTCAACGATGACATATCAGTGTATTTGAGCTAAGAGTTAAATGGTTGAATCGTGCTATGCTGAATAAAAAAGGGAGAACGTCCTTAATTTTGAAAAATGAGAGTAATTCAACCTACATACAAACTTCAGAACAATAACATGCTTACTATTGACATAGAAAGTACATACAGGGTTTTTGACGGAAGGAAAACACTTGCTAGCTGTAGAACAAAAGGAATACAAGGGACAAAAGACCAGCTTATTGATAAAATGTTACTAAAATTTGTAAAAGAACGTTGACAATTTTAAGTATGGCATGGATAGAGTATTAAAGGTTTTATGACATGATTTCCCACCGATGGATTCTTTAATTTCTATCAATGGTGAAAACAAAGGAAAGTATGGCAAGATCCCATTGGAAAAACAATTGAGAAGTTGGAAAATATTATTGATAAATAACTAAGAGTCAAGAAGAATGTTAAGAGAGATTAAATTAAAAAGAGGAATTTTTCAAGTTGATAACTAATCTTCAGTTTTATTCATCTTGGCAATGATATCGCTGACTGTGCTCTTGAAGAAAATTAAATTTGGATATTAAAATAAACCAACTTTGATATAAAGAGGGATTTTAATTTTTACGGTGGGAACACGAAAGAAATTGACCCAGCAGTGTAAATTCTAAGAATTTTTAGTGAAGATTTTGGAATAAGATTTCTTTTATATCTCGTACAAGATATAATAAACAAAGTAAACCCGAGTGTGGTTTTCAATAATAATTTTATAATCGGATGTAGGTATGTCAAAATACAGAGACAGAGTCAGGAGTAAGCTAACCGCAATGGTGTTAGTAAACGAAGACCTTCTTTTTGTCACTCTCCTTACTGTTTCCTGTGGTCGTACTTTATCGGCCACCAGACCGTCCATTATCGTGAATGGGGAAGTTGGGTTATCTCATCACAACAATTTCGTATAGAGCAAATATTTTGGGATTGCTGCCCCACTTGTGAACGAAAACACAGTCTTAACGACCCTTCAAAATGTATAAGTCACCCTTTGAATTTTCTTGGTGTAGGTATTGCATGTCAAATGAGTAAATTTCGCATAATAATTGTTATATTAACCTGATATACTGCAAAATGAATTTATTATTTTTGTATGAATTTCTAGAGTGAGGAGTTATCATTATTTACATTATTTATATTAGGACTATTGTCCTTATTTCTTTTGTTACCACAACGTTTCCGCTGTTGTGTCCTCCAACCTTCCTCAGGTGTATATCGAACTGAGAAACCTACAGGGACAATGGCTTAGTGGTAAAAGCGTTGGTTTATGAATTTGGTGACATAATGGTTGTGAGTTCAATTCCTGGATCGGCAATTTGTATTTGCATTCAATAAGAACTAGACGATATCCCCAGGCATGAGAAGTGGAATGAGAACAGTCCACCCAGTTATGTGCCATGCACGATGCACGCTTAGACGATCATGTATCTTTCGAGGTTGACACTTCTTTCTGCGGTAGACCAGTTGCTATAAAACCCGTTCTGTCCCGCTATTTACCCATAGCTGGGGGGGGAGAAGAAGCGGAGGATTCATATTTTTCCCAAGGGTATTTGCACGTCAAAGACTAGAATTCGAACACGGCTCTCCGATTTCTCAATCCGAGCAGCTATCCATTACTCCATCGTGCCTCCGTTTAAATAATAGAACACTTCACGAATTTGTGTGTAATCCTTGCGCAGGGGCCATGCTAATCTTCTCTGTATCACCCAATTTTAGTATATGAACTACCGAAGCGAGTACACAGTCTACCCACGTAGATTAAATAAATGATTCAAGTTAGAAATCTTTGCATGTTATCCAGATCGAGATTCACATGTGGAAGGCAGGAGAGCACAACGGCCGAAACGTTAAGATTGCAACAACAAAGATGATGACAATCGTCAGAATATAAATAGTGTAAATGATGAATTAATATTTATTGAGTATCTCTCTATATTTCTGAGATGAGGTATTATATACACATTTACATTATTCGGACTGTTGTCCTCAACTTTGTTACAACGTCTATCTTTGTCCACACTTTGTCATCTTTGTCACATTTATGACAACGTTTCGGCCGTTGTTGGCTCCGGCCTTCTTTAGGTGGTTGGAATGTCAAACTGAACCCTTTATTTCGCTTGCTGGGGTAGACTGTTCTAGCTCCACGCCCCGTGTCTAATGGATGTCAGTTATCAGTTATCGCCTGTTAATATTTATTGATCCTCTTTCTCCGGATTATCCCCCTTTACAGGTTATTTAAAGCCATAAATTACTTTTAGATTATATATTTTTGGAGTTGGGGCGGGAAGATAATGATGGTTTAGTGATACCAGTCTTACTAATTAACCCGTAGCTGTAATGGCATTTCTAAGCGGTCACCTATCTAGCTACCGACCAGGGGGTGGGGCGTTACTTAATTTCGGAGATAGTACAGGAATCGGCGTTTTAATGTTATATGGCCG